TTGTGAAATATGAGATGAAAAATGAAATTTAAAATGAACAAAATGGAGAATGTCACATGAGATGAGCATGAAAACATATTTTGCAATGCATGAGATGGAAAATGCGATACAATGGATATATGACATGTGAAATTTTCAAGACATATGGAAGATTTATTGTGAAATGAGTAGGATGGACATATGACATGTGAAACAATCATGAATTTTTTTTTTTTTTTTTTAATGATGCATGGGGTTGAAAATGAAGATACAAAGTGCATGGAATGCTCCTTACCTCAAGAATGATGTCTAAATGCAAAAGATGAATAACTAATCATACCTCAAATGCATATAAGAATAAAAACCTGCCATGTGCGGAGACAAAGTTAGTGAAGAAAAATGCCCCTTTTTGTGTCTTAGACACGGGATTCCTAACCTCACGGGTGGGATGCTAAGGGAAACATGTCCTAGGGTTGGTATCTCTTTAAGGCCACTACATGTTTTCCTAAAGGGCATTAGGCCTTCTCAACCATTTATCCTTTCGGAATCAACGGGAGATATTTCCAAAGGCTAATACACAGAATGATATTACATCATCAAGTGTCGTATTAACCAATGGAAACAACCTAACGGGAACCGATCTTACTCCTCAAAGTGGGAAGAATTACTCTTCCAAGCCAGATTCATAAGGATTCCAGACTAGAGGTCGGGTTCACCTCTGACACGGACCTAATGCAAAATGAGAGTGAGTGTGTGTAAGGGGCATGACACTCCAATAACCTGCACAATGGCAATCACAGAAAAAAGGCAACATATATCCCACAATAATCAAATAAAGCATGTAAAGCACTCAACAAATATATCATCCACAAACAAACCTACTTACACAGCAGGAAGGGACTCACCTCGTACTCCCATGCCAAATGCAAAAGGTTAGTAACACAAAGCAACCAACACTTAGCATGTAACAAGATATAAATAATCGCACAAGAGGGAAGAGACTCACTGAGTACTCCATAGCCAAGTGTAAAAGGTGAGTATATCCACACACAAACAAGTAGGCATATAGGCATGATGCATGATGAATAGACATGTTATATCGATGATGGATGAGCATGTGAGATGATATGATGCATGAACATGTGAGCAAAGTATGATGCATGTCAAGATATAGCAAGATAACTACTCAAAGACAAAACAATCAAAGTAACCACTAAAACAATGAGCAAACAAGCAATAAGCAACAAACAACACGTAACAAGCACATACAATAAATAACAAAGACCCACAAAGACTCAACAAATAAAGAAAAATCAAAAGTTGAAAATTCCCCAAAGTTAAAGTATTAGCTCGACCCTCGTGAACCCAGAATATGGAAACCAGAGATTCTGGGTTTCTTCCCCAGTGGAGTCGCCAATCTGTTGACGACCACTTAAGATATTTTTCAAAATAAATTGAAAAATCAAGTGTGAAATATATAAGAAAAAGGGAGTCGCCAATCTGTTGACGACCACTTAAGATATTTTTCAAAATAAATTGAAAAATCAAGTGTGAAATATATAAGAAAAAGGGAGTCGCCACTCATCCAAATTATAAGGTGGGACAAGTCACCTAAAACGGGTCTGCACAGAGATCGAGGTTCGGGGGTTCGATTAGGAGTGAGGAAAGGCATACGCGCACCTCACAATCCTCCGTTTAAACACGGTTGCATACTTTAAAATTGGGGTTTTGATTCAACTTATTCATTATGTTTATATTTGGGTCTTAATAAACAATCTTGAAAAAGAGATAAACCAAATTGCAACATTTTTTAACATTTTGGACTAAAGTGGACGAAATCAAAGACATGCATGCACAATAACATAAACAAGAAGTT